GACCCGTCTCTTAGCAAGACAATGGTCTCCCTCAAGGCAATGATTAAAGCACTGCAGAATGAAGGCCAGGGCGTTTTGATAGAATTTGGGCAGATACAGACTCATTGTTAGCGGATGGGGAACATCGATGACAGACTGCTGGGGGTTTTAGGAAGTTTAGCAGAGTCTTCGGCACTTCCGGGGTTACCACTGGTCAGATCAAAAGATCATACACTCCAGTTGGTCCGGGAGCACAACCCCCGAACCTCAGGCCATACGATACCCTTATTACCAGAAAAACGAGATAGAGAGCATTGTCAAGGAAATGTTAACTTCAGGGATTATAAAACCTAGCATTAGTCCATTCTCCATCCTGTTTTTGGTGAAAAAGAAAGATGGAGGGTGGCGATTCTGTGTAGACTTCGGGCAGTCAACAAAGTGACATTCCGGATAAATTTCCGATTCCCGCTATCGATGAACTGTTTGATGAGTTAAAAGGACAACGGTGTTTTCTAAACTCGATTTGAAATCCGGATATCACCAGATTCAGTGAAACCCGAAGACACCCACAAGACTGCTTTTCGAACACACGAAGGGCACTATGATCCCTTGTGATGCTTTCGGCCTTACCAACGCACCGGCAACTTTTCAGGCAGTCATGAATGACGTTTCAGACCGTACTTAAGAAAATTATTGGTCTTCTTCGATGATATACTGATTTACAGTCGGGAATGGCCGAACTGCGAAGCATTTAAACTTATTTTGCAGTATGTAGGAGAATCAGCTGGTGGTCAATCAAGAAATGTCAGTTTGGGCAGCTCCAGATGGAATATTTGGGACACCAATATCTCACTAAGGGTGTGGCAGTAGATCCATCAAAAATTGACAGCATACTAAATGGCCAGAACCGAAGAGATCCGAGCACTCAGAGGATTTCTTGGACTCACAGGATACTACCGTCGCTTTGTGCGAGATTACGGTAAATAGCTCTACCTCTCACGGGCCTGTTAAAGAGATTCTTTTAATAGGAACACAGCAGCTCAACAGCTTTTGAGGAGTTGAAAAGGATCATGACCAGTGTTCCTGTCCTACGGATGCCAAATTTTACCCGGAATTTATATAGAGACTGATGCTTCAGGCAGCGGATTAGGGCGGTGTTGATGCAAGAAGGACGGCCGATCGCATTTCTCAGCAAAGGGTTATCTCTCAAGTCTAAACTGAAATCAGTCATGAGCGGAATTAAGGCGGTCGTATTGGCTGTGCAAAAGTGCGTCATACCTCTTGGGAAGGCATTTTGTTATCCGAACAGATCACGGAGTCTCCACTTCTAACCGACCAGAAACTATTAAGTGAATGTCAGCAAAAGTGGGTTATCAAATTGTTGGACTTGATTTCAGTATCCAATATAAGCCAGGACCGCAAAATAAGCGCAGACGCTCTTTCCAAATGCCTGATACGATTGAGCATCATGCTTTGTCGGTGGGTTGTTTTTCCGGCTTAACGTTTAGAAGATGCATTCCAGCAGGATGACAGGTTGCGGGGAATAATACAACAACTCCTGATTGACCCGAACAGCCATTCCCATTTCAGATTAGTGGGACCACCTCGTTGTATCATAACAGGTTAGTACTCCCTAAATCGAGGCCTCACATCCGAGAATACTGCAAGAATTTCATACTTCCCCTATTAGAGGCCATCGGGATTTTTTCGGACATATAAGCGGCTCTCGAATGTGGTGTTTTGGGGGGAATGAAGAAGATATCAAGGAATGTGTGCTGCTTGCGCTGTCTGTCAACAAAATAAATACATGCACTAGGTCCCGCAGGACTGCTTCAGCCGTACCAATTCCTAACCAGGTGTGGGAGATATCTCCATGAATTTCATTATGGGACTGCCCAAAGCAAATGGGGTTGACACTATTCTGGTTGTGTTGATCGTTTGACCAAATACAGCCATTTTCTCACTCTTAAACACCCATACACGGCCAAGGTGGCGCGGATTTGTTTAAAAGAAGTGTCAGGTTACATGGATTTCCCCGCAGCATTGTGTCAGATAAGATGAATATTCATGAGCAACTTTTGGCTGAATTATTCAAACGTCTGGAACCCATTTACTCATGAGTTCGCCTCCCATCCGCAGACGACGGTCAAACAGAAGTGGTAAACCGAGGCTTAGAGACATACCTCAATGTTTTGTAATAGCCACCCCAACAGTGGCCAAAATGGGTCCCTTGGGCAGAATTTTGGTTCAATACCACCTATTATAGCTCCGCTGGCATGAGTCCATTTAAAGCCCTTTACGGCCGTGAACCTCCAACAGTGTTACGCTATGCAGACCGATGTGTCACCCGTGGAAGAGTTGCAGCAACTTCAGCAAAGAGACCACATTATTGAGGAGTTAAGGCCAATCTTCTCAAAGCCCAAAACCGCATGAAGTTGTATCTGATCGCCATCGTCGAGAGGTTCCCTTTGAGGTTGGTGAATCTGTCTATTTGAAATTACACCATACAGATTACGTTCCTTAGCACGTCGCTACGAAAAGTTGAGCCCACGGTTTTACGGTCCGTTTGTAATTACCGATAAATTGGGGCCGTGGCATACAGGCTGGAACTACCTTCGTCCGCCCGTATTCACGACGTTTTTCATGTCTCTCAACTGAAGAAGCAGCATTTCCAATCCCCAATAGCCCCTTTACCGGCAGCCCCACCGAGGATTTAATTCTACAACTAGAACCTGAGGCAGTCCTCAAGAACGAAAACTCCTGAATGGGCAGTGGGGGTGTTGATTCCTGGCAAGGATTACCGTCCTACGAAGACACATGGGAAATATTTCGACGTTATCCCCACCAATTTCCTTCTTTCCACCTTGAGGACAAGTTGGCTCTCCTTGGGGAGGTATTGATGAACACCCCAGAGGACTGGTACCATAGGAAGGGCAAGAGGGTAAAACAGTAGAAAATAAGTAAAAGGTTGGAGTTTGTTAGAGAGGACAGATGGCTTGACAGGAGCAAAAATAGGAATTCGTTTAGAAGTAAAAAGGTGCCAGGAATGAATAAAAAGGGGAGGAGAGAAAAAGAGGAATCAAGCAGAAAATTGTTAATTTGGCAGGGAGGCAGCTGACCCTCGAAGTCAGTATTCTGGGAGGTGACTGACCCTCGAAGTCAGCCTTAGTACCATTTCTTTTATTGCACTTTCTGTGTTTATTTAGTACATTTGCTTAGTGAGTACTGATAGAGCAAGGCTACTGGAAGTATTGTTCTAGTTGTAGTGTTCTGTGCAGATATTAATAGAATTGGGCATTTTATTGTTGATTGTGAGTGACTGGTTGTGTGTTGTGGTATATTCTGTGGTATTGCTGGTGTTTTTGCAGGACAGGTTCTATCATATTCTGTCAACAAATCTTCAATTAAGTTTTTCACTTCCAGAAAAGATGAATTCCCAGTAATTCTTCTTGAGGTCGCTCGTGTTCTTCAAAAATTTACAAAGCTTATGGGTTTCTGTTCTTCAGACTTATTCAAACTGTTCTTTGTGCCACACCACACGAGTTGTTTGGCAAACTCTTCCATTAAAAATTTTCCAGAAAGTTGTAAAAGGGAATGGTTTTTCTGATTAAGATTGAACGCACTGTGTGAGTGTAACTGTCTTTAACCCCATTTTGTTTCAACCACTACTTTCCATAGTTTTCCTTTTCCATTCTAATTTAATATCTACCAACTCAATCAACAAAAACTTACACACACAAAGTGTGTGTGTGTGTGTAAATTAAATGCATTGTCTAGGGTAAACAAAATAGGGAGAGTGGTGGGTTTGGTTTAGGGACATAAAATGGAGTTTAGAAGAGAGAAAAAGGAGATGAGGAGGAGGAGGAGGAGGAGGGTATTTTTGGCATCTCAATTAAAAAATTTATATTACTCTGCACTTGGTCTCGAAAAAGACAAAAAAAAGGGTATTATGGTATTTTAACTGATTCACATATGAACAGTTAACGGATAATGTAATGTCGTAACCAATTTGGGGGGATTTTGATGCATTTCAAAAACTACTAGGGGCAAGGTAATTGAAATCGTTAAAGTTGCCCTTAGAGGATGCCATTCCGAAACTGTAGGGTAGGATTTTGATGTTTTTTCTCTATACAAAATTGTAAGTCACATTAAATTTTTTTTTTTTTTCTTCACAGGTAGGAAACTATTTTAATTTATATATTTTTTGTGTTGTTTAACTATATTATGTTACTTGGATTTATAATAAGGACCTTTTTTAGCTTTATTTTATGAGAGTGCTTTCAATCTAATTGTCTGAAATTTTATTTTAGGAATAACAATGTTGGCGGTATATAGCATATGCGAAGAAAATGAAATGCTAACTATATATATACTAAAACCTCTGTATAATGGTAATTTATATAAGAATAATCTCTATATAAATAAGAATAAACTCTACATTGTAATAAGTTATAATTTCTTTAATTTTCATCTTAAGAAAGTTGTCTTTACATAACAATAATTATATGTATATTGCAAAAATACGTATAATATGTTACATTAAAGGTTTAAAATGAAATAAAATATTTATCTAAAATTGTTTGGGATAATAATTTATGTTTTAGAATTGTTAAAACTTAAATTAAGTGTTTATCTGATTAGGTCTACTTCCTTGACAAAAGTGATTATTTTTCCAGGTATTCAAATATTAAAAAGAATTGAGCCCATCTTAATGCTCTAATGACAAAAAAGGTATTGAAAGCTTTTAAATCTTATAAATGAAGTTGATTTAATTTAAAACAAGGGAGTTTTGAGTAAATATTTTTCAAAATTAAACAGAATCTCAAGTGAAGTGAGGAAATGATGATCAATTACCTCACTCAATGACTTGGCTTTATCACTTTTTACAAATCTCCTTCTCGAATATGCCAATAGTAAAATAATTTTATTTTTATTAAAGACAAAAAAAAAATTATTACATAATATCCTACAAACATTTTAAGTTTATCTAACACTCAAAATTTTCAACCACTATTTTTACATGTACAGCTTGGGTAAACATGGTGACGCAGTATGGAAAACCATTGTTTCCCAAAATGCATTATGTGCAGCCAATACCAGTTAAACATATTGATTGGCTTTGCCATCATGCCCAGCAGATAATTGCAGCAAGGCTTGGAAGATCAGAGGCACCACTCAGGCGCGAAACAGTTGAGTACATGCTGGATGTAGATTCCCATAGGTGGAGTTTGAGGAGAAGCAAAGTCAGTTTCTTCAGAGTACTGTCACTTCTTTCAGGGGTTATAGCTGTTGGTAAATTGATAAATGACATTTCCACCTGGAGAAACCCAGTTACGACAATTATTGTGCACGTATTATTTTTGATACTGGTTTGCTATCGAGATCTGATACTGCCCACAATTTTCCTCTACCTCTTTGTTATTGGAATCTGGAACTTCCGTTTCAGGCCAAGGCACCCACCTCCAATGAATGCTCGGCTTTCACACGCAGACGTGGCACACCCAGATGAGCTGGATGAGGAATTGTATACAGACCCAACATCAATACCTGAAGACATAGTAAGAATGAGATATGACAGACTTCGTAGCGTGGCAGGTAGGTTCCAGACAGTGATTGGAGATTTGGCGTCACTTGGGGAAATGGCTCAAGCTATGCTCAGCTGGAATGACCCAAGAGCTACCGCTATCTGCACCATCTTCTTGTTGATCTGGGCAGTGTTTATTTATGTTACTCCATTGCAAGTGGTGGCAGTTCTCGTTGGTCTATACTTTCTTCGCCATCCCTGGTTCAGGAGCAAGATACCTGCTGTACCTGCCAACTTCTTTAAAAGATTACCATCCAAGTCAGACGGGCTATCATTCTTGTAAATGTCAAGATAAATCATAGCTGCAGAGGACCGCAAAATGAAGCTGCAGCAGTTCTCTTTTGTCCCTGCTATCCTGCATTAGCAGAAGAAGTTACTCTGCAAGATTTCTCAGCACCACTCTTTTCGTCATCTATGTATACCTGTTTATTTTTCTCCTGTTGGGTGAATTTTGAATGTTATATATATTGTCTTCCTGAGTAATAAGCAATGTACTAAAGATTAGCTAAAAAAGAACAAAGCAATCATGATAGGAGAAAAAAGAGTACAGAGTGTTCTGCTCTAATTGCTGTCTCACCATCCAACTTCCTTCCATAAAACATCTATAGCTGAGAGGGAAAAAAAACAAAGTAGAAGCGAGAGTAAATATAGTTTTTCTAGTCTGTAAATAGTGCGTCATCAAAACGTGATCTGAAGCTCGTTGCCGTCCAATCGTTTGATTTTTGGACACTGTTGTTCATGACACAAAATCTACATTATGAACGGGGAAGATTGAAATCAAAGTACTGTAAGCAGTCAATTATAAGGTAAAACTATCCATTAATTTGGTAATAGTGGAAAGACTTAATCCGATGGATTTTACTCTCATAATAATTTACTACAACTGAAGAGAATCCAGATAAAATTACACAAAATTTACGTAAAATGATATATTGTCTTTTGTTGTTTGTTGAGGTATATAATTCATTATAAGTATAACATTGCTCTTTTACTCCTCAATTGGAGGTTTTTCCAAGTAAAATGTAGGTGTCATTGATTTACTAACTTCTACATATATTTGTAGCTTTTGATTATATACACTCATTAAAGAAAAGGAATTGTTGAATTGCTAGGTTCCTTTTTAGTTACAGAAAAGCTAGAGACAAAGTTAAACAAGAGAAAAGTAGAGAGCAAAATCAAACAAAAGTGAGGATGATGCTGGAAATAATTCTTTATTTATTTTTTATTTTAAATAAGAGGTTTTGAGGAAACAAAAAACGATAAACAAGATTGCAGAGGGTTGTATTTATTTATTTTTGTAAACGAGAAATAAGGAATGCAAAAGGGTTTTCTTTAAAAAAAAAAAAATAAACAAGAAAAAGAAGAGTTCTTAAGTTAAAGGATTTTAATTTTCAGCAATAAAAAGTATTAAAAGGGCTTAAGAAGAGGTAGAAATTAAGGAGGGGAACGAAGAGATCAGTGATGGATGGCAAACAATAGCAAAGTGATCTTGATCGAGAGTAACTAGCAGTGAAATAACACCTATCACTTGACCGTAGGAGGAACCAACATATAAGTATATTGTTTGATTTAAGTACTAATGTTTGGAATAGAAAGTCAAGTCTACTACCGAAACAAAAAAAAAACTTTGAATCAGACCACTTTGCATAAAACAAAACAAAACTTTGACTAGAAAGTCGACTCTGCTACCGAGAAGAAAACAAAACTTTGAACCAGACCACTTTATGCAATAAAAACAAAAGAAACATGATAAGTCTTCCTCGTAAACATGTGGACCCCAAGTGGAAGAAATTAAAATATTCCTCAAGCGGTGGCCTTGATCTGCAATCTAACGTTAAGACAAAATGTGAAAGCCAGAAACTACAGAACAGGTGCAAAAGAAATGATAGGGCAGAAATAAAAAATAATATTAGCAATTAATAAATATTAACACTCTAAATTAAATAAATAATTAAAGAAGTGGCACACGCCAGAGTGATGTAATTGAGTTGTGGGCTGTAAAAATAAGTTAAAAAAGTGACACAATATTGAAGTGGTGGTATAAATTGATGTGCGTCATAAAAGAATATTAAAATGCATGCTCAAATCTGATGTGTAATAGTATAAGCAGATACAACCTTTGCACTAACTGTTCGTTTCATATGTAAATGGGAAGAGTAATGTTATGTGTATTAATTAATTTATATTAATCCAAGTACTAATATTACAAATTTAAAATTCTTAAAAAAAAAATTTTAATTTTTAATATTAGTACTTAGATTAATACAAATTGATTAATACACCTAATATTATTTCATATAATATATCTACCGAACCTTTTATTTGGGCTTTAATTGCTGATACTTTCAGTTGATACAAGGACATAATTCACTAAGAATCTGCTTGTATACTTTTTGGACTGTATTGTTTACTTTAACTTTCACAACTGATTTCAACAAAATATCCTAGTGTAATTGATCAGAGGTTTTAAAACTTGTACCTACACATTAGCACACTAATGCTTTTGATAATTGTAATTGATATATACCTTTCTTCTTCTTTTTTATTTTTTTATTTTTAAGTATTTATGATAATGGCACGTATGATTTATATATAAGAAGTTATATATATACTTTCTTTGTGTAATATGAATTTTAGATCTATATGTGGGACTCCTGCAAACAAGTGTTCTTTCCAAAGTTGGTTCCTGTAAATAAGGCAAATTTCAAATGCTACTGGTGCAATAAAAATCATGGGTTAAAAATACATTCTATTTGTTATAAATAAATGGAAAATTATATTATCTAGCTACTAAATTTCAGAAAGACAAAATTACCCTTACATATAAAAATCAAACTAACACATATACATTTCTCCCCTAACCTTCTATATTCTCTCCAATTTCATAACTATTCAAAACTTAAAAGAGACCAATTAATCTTGATATTCTAATCCGATACACCCTTACCTTCATCATTTGAAACCGACAAAACTTTTGTAAATCACGGATAGGTGGCCATTTTTCAATAATGGAACAAAAAAATTAGAAAATTTATAATAATGCTTGATTTTTAATTTCCTTTAGGATATTTATCAATAGTGGAAATAGAGTCAAACGGATAAGAATGAAACTACAATATATGATAAATGCATTTTTAAAAGATATGAGAATTTGTATAAAAAGTTTGTACATAAAATATTATCGTTATAAAAACAAATTGAAAACAATGTGTAATGTGTCAACAACTTATATAGTTAATGAAGATATTTTCAAGAAGAACAAGAATATAAAGAACACGAAGAAGAACAAAAAAAAATCCAGAAACTTTGTTGTTCTCATTAAGTGATGAAGAGAGGGGAACTACATTTTATATTTTCGTACAAACATAAAACAGTGCGTTTCACAAAGTTAACAAAAATACAACGATACAACTTTCTAATTTTACAAATATAACCCAGAATCCAGGTTTTTAAGTTCTGTCTAATAGTCCCCCTTAAGCTAAACATTCCTCCATATTAGCAATTCCTGCTTTGTCCAATATTTCCCTTAAACAAAACAGCTCTCCAGATTGACAATTCTTCCTCACTCCATGAAACTTCAAACATCTTTTTCAACCGCTATCAATACACACTCCCAATAGAAATCCTACCAACACTTCAATTATTAATAAACACACTTCAATTATTAATAAACACACTTAAATCATGAGCAAACACACACTTGTAACATACACAAACACTTCAGCTAGACTTCCAACATCTCTGCAATGAACCACCACACTACTTTTGTTGCAACTTCAACCACCAGTATGTCACCTCTTCATATTAACATTAACACTTCATTACACTACTTTTGCTGCAATTTCAAACACCAGCATGTCTACTACAGACTAACATTAACACTTCACCACATTACAAATTTGCACAACACACCAACTCCACCAACTATTTTTTACAAGTATACCAAAAATTGATAAGCATCAGACTTACACCAACACTACACCTACTGCAACAATAGTATCAGCATGTCATCCTCTTCGGTTTGCTAAACACAGTGCACAGTACACACCAACTACACCCAAAAAAAAAAAAAAAAATTATAACATGACCAGATTAGCATGTAAGTACTTAGGAAGAATAAAGACAACATGTAACTTGTCCCTTAACAAGGCAAACCTATTACCAGGAAGTGCTTTGGTAAGAATGTCAGCTATTTGATACTCAGAAGCCACATATTGAACACTTAAGCTTTTCTTGGCAACCAATTCTCTAACATTATGAACATCGATTTCTATATGTTTGGTTCTAGCATGGAAACAGGATTGGAAGATAAGGCTTCAGTACTCATGTTATCACACCAAATCACAGGAGTGTTATTCATCTCAATCCCAAGTTCCTTAAACAAATGTTGGGTCCACACAAGTTCAGTGGTAGCTTGACTCAAGGATCTGTATTCTGCTTTTGTAGAGGATAGGGAAACCACTTTCTGCTTCTTTGAACTCCATTGGACCAGATTTCCTCCTAGACAAACATAACACCCATTGGTTGATTTCCTATCATTCACATCACTACCCCAATCTGCATCAGCATAGGCTTCAACAAAAAAATGTTCCCTTTTTGTAAACAAGATTCCATGTTATAGTGTTCCTTTAACATATCTTATAACCCTTTTACATGCAATCCAATGTGCTACAGTAGGAGCTTGAAGAAATTGACTTAACTTATTGGCAATAGAACTGAGATTTGGTCTCGACAGAGTAAGATACTGCAGACCTCCGATGATACTCCTATATAGAGTTGGCTGATCAAACATGTCACCATCTTCTTTACTAAGCTTAGCTCTAGTAGCCATAGGTGTCGCAATCTATCATATTGGCCTTTTGCAAAAAATCTTGAGCATATCTGGTTTGAGTCAATAACAACCCTAAAGAATTTCTAGCCACCTCAAACCTAAGGAAGTAGTGAACTTCTCCTAAGGTCTTTAAGGCAAATTGTGTATTGAGATCTTCTACTACTTAGGATATAATCTGAGGACTATTTCTTGTTAACAAGATGTCATCTACATATACTAGTAGGTAAATCACTTGAGATCCTTGTTTGTTAAAAAAAAAATAAAAATAAACTGACATCAGAAGCAAAATTAACAAAATCCCAGTTTAACAAAGCATTTTTCAATTTATCAAACCAAGCTCTTGCAGCTTGTTTATTATGCCGTCTACACACATGTTGTGGTTCAAAAAAATTAGAAAATCCTTCAGGAGGTAGCATAAACATTTGTTCTGTTAACTCTCCATTCAAGAAGGCATCGTTCACACCAATTTCTTGAATGCGCCAATTATGATGAATAGCTAGAGATATCAGATTCTAATAATGGCTGCCTTAATTGGTCAGAAGGTATCGAAGTAATCTAGTCTTGGGTTTGCTAAAACCCTTTAGCACAACCTAGCCTTGACTTTTGAAGAGAGAGCTAGCCATCAGTTTAACTTTGTCTTGAACACCTATTTATTACCAACTACATCTCTGCCAAATTCATAAGGTACTTCTCCCAAGTGTTATATTCATTAAAGCTTGATATTCGACTGCCATAGCAGCCTTATTCCATTCAAGTATTTCTCAAACTCC